TCATGTTTACTTCATAGTCAAGGGTCTCAAGGCTACAGCAGTTAAATATCAGGCCCAGGAATATAAGTGTGGTCAAGAGAAAATCAGGACACAGACTCTAGGGGCAACAGCAAGCTCTAAGACATTCTTCACAAGCCCAGCCAGGCCCAGATACAACCCTGGAGGTTAAGACTCAGCCTGCAGGGCCTCAGAGAAGAGGTGCACCCAGCAATTTCTAAATGCACTTCAAAAATATCCCAAAGGAAAAGACTCATCAGAAAGACTTAAACCCCCACCATCACACACACACCTCACCGTAACCTTGAGATTTCCAATCAGCACCATCAAAGGTTTTCAAAATGGCAACAAACAAAATTATTTAAATTATTCTGCTCTACTCAGAACAAAAATGGCCTTTCAGTTGTGCCGTGTCTCAGCAACCCTTGATTAGAGAAAGAAGCTCAGAGACAAAACACAGGGTGATACTTATCCTCAAGGACATCCCTGTCATAACGAACTCCTGGGGGCTGTGGGGTGGAGTGGTGCTCCCCCCCTTCTCCAAACAAAGCTTCTTCCACTCTGCGCTTTACCACAAAGACCGTAGTGACTGCTGTAACCCCAAAGCCTCCAACGTGTATAGCCGTGTCGGCATGTGAATACTTAAGAAAGGTCATTTTTAAAGTCTGTGCCTGGTTCCCTTAGAGCTTTATGTCTGACCATTTTGACACAGTCGTGTTTCTGAGGCACAAACAATGCAATGATGCCTTTTAACTCTGAAAAAGGGGAGCAAGCCTTCCTCAGCAGCAAAAAGATTTGAATATAACATTCAGCACGTCATGATCCCCCAATGTACTACCATCCTCCATATACAGAAGATGACCAAACATGCTCGGCGGCTAGCGATTGTAGGGGATGGGCTGTCATTCATGATTCACACCCCCCCAGGACCTCCCCGGTGTGACAAGTGGAACTTCCCTGTGTGAGAAGCCAGTGAGTTTCAGCAGAGCCCAACCGCAGCACCCTGGCCTCTGGGCTTCCTAACAACCATCCAATTACCTTTCAAAGACCAGCCACCCTGGCAGTTCCAGAAGAGCATCAGAAACCTGAAGGGTAGAAGGGCTAGGTGGAAGGGCATGCAGCTAATAGCCAAGGCTCACGGTACCAGCTGCCGAGGCCCCAGACAAAAGCTGCTGAGCCTCCCCCCCCAGCCCCGGGATTTCAGAATGGGTACGTTCAAGCAATTACATCTCAATTGGCTTTGGTTTCCTTGTCTGTAGAATGGGGATAGTAATAGCGCCAATCTCACGGAGTCATGGTGTTAAAAAAAAAAAAAATGTGACTTACAAAAAGAACTGTGGCCCAATGAAATCCATTGGGGAAAATCCCTGTACTCCCAAAAGTCTCCCTACATAACAACTGAGCTGAAAGACCAAAGACCATGAACCCTGTAATC